CAGAGGTGTGTGGTGGTAGTGGTTTTTGGATGTGCCTCTCCAAGTCTCGTCGCAGCCTGTAGGACCGTGTCCTGGTCCAGTGAAAATTATTTGAACCGGTGATGGGCCTCCCCTAGGTCGACTCAGCCTCAAATTAGTACCTAGTGCGGTGTGTAAACATCGCCACCTTAGAGACAAAGGCGGCCGGGCGTGATGTTGGCTACTCCACCCCTTTGTTGTGCCGTTCCGGCCTTCATAGGTGCTGCTCGCTCTCAGCACTTGCCCCAACAGTCTGGTAAGGCTATACGGGGGATCTTTGTTTTTGTCTTGGTCCTGCTACTGACTGATTTGCTGCCTTATTGCACCCTTTTGCTTTTTGTTGTCTACTCGACTTCCCGTTGACTTTTTTTTCTCAGTCTAATATGGTGCCTTTTTATTCGGAGAAAAAATCCTTTGGAAATTATAAATGGTGGATCAATTTGAGTCATTTGCATTCATCTTCATTTGCATTCGTTCACATTTCAAGCCCCCGGCTACTTTTTCAACACGTTGAGTATTTAAAAAAACACTTTCAAACAAAATGGACTTCAGTGAGGTCGATGCCTGGACTGAATTATTCACCATATGCTGACGTCATGTGTGGGATGTCACGTAAACACCCAGTTAACGTGCCAAGTTTCGCCTAACTTTGATCCGACGGTTGTGACCACGTGCTCACGTTGGCCCAACGTTGCGTGCCTACCGGGTATTGCTCGTGTCGGTTCGAGAACCAACGCCTCGCCACGCTAATACACACTGGTCACACGCAAACTTGCCCCACTCGCGACCGTGAAACACACAGGTGCACACAAACCGCACGCCCGCGGTTCACACGCAAACACGTCTATATTTAGATCAGCCCAAAGTTCGCAATGCCAGCACCAGCTCCATGTCTAGAGCTAACACTGCCAACACCAGCCCCATGTCTAGAGTTCACACTGCCAACACCAGCCTCATGTCTAGAGTTCACACTGCCAACACCAGCCTCGTGTCTAGAGTTCACACTGTCAGCGCCAGCCCCATGTCTAGAGCTCACACTGCCAACACCAGCCTCGTGTCTAGAGTTCACACTGCCAACACCAGCCTCGTGTCTAGAGTTCACACTGCCAACACCAGCCTCGTGTCTAGAGTTCACACTGCCAACACCAGCCTCGTGTCTAGAGTTCACACTGCCAACACCAGCCTCGTGTCTAGAGTTCACACTGCCAACACCAGCCTCATGTCTAGAGTTCACACTGCCAACACCAGCCTCATGTCTAGAGCTCACACTGCCAACACCAGCCTCATGTCTAGAGCTCACACTGCCAACACCAGCCTCATGTCTAGAGTTCACACTGCCAACACCAGCCTCATGTCTAGAGTTCACACTGCCAACACCAGCCTCGTGTCTAGAGTTCACACTGCCAACACCAGCCTCGTGTCTAGAGTTCACACTGCCAACACCAGCCTCATGTCTAGAGCTCACACTGCCAACACCAGCCCCATGTCTAGAGTTCACACTGCCAGCGCCAGCCCCACCAGGGCACCACCAAATGTGCGATGTACACGTTTTCTCCCGAACTAACGCCAGTTGGTGAATCTTGTGCGTTGACCGTCCAACAAATCCGACGGACACGGAAATGGTGAATCTGAAACACAAATCTTTTCCAGCTCGAACGTCCCCACAGCTAAGGCAAGTGCTTCCCCCCTCCCGTGATCTCGCGTACGTGTGTACGCCCGTACGTTGAACTTCTTTTGCACCTCGCGCAGCCAACCGCGCTAATCGGAGGTGCACTCCTCCCAAATGTTTTCGACTCATCCCAACGTCTCATTTTTCTGTCCGTCTTCTCCCCTTCATCGACATCCATTCCTTTAATACAGGGGTCCACAACCCCCGGGTCGTGGACCGGTACCGGTCCATGGCCTGTTAGGAACCGGGCCACACAGCAGCAGGAGGTGAGCGGTGGGCGAGCGGTGGGCGAGCGGTGGGCGAGCGAAGCTTCACCATATGTATTGACAGACGAAGCTTCATCATCTGCATTGACAGCCGCTCACCATCGCTCGCATTACCGTATGAGCTATGCCTCCTGTCAGATCAGCTGCGGCATGAGATTCTCATAGGAGCGCGAACCCTGCTGTCAACTGCGCACACGAGGGATCTCGGTTGCGCGCTCCTTATGACAAGTCAGAATCCGACACTTTTTTTAGTCCGCGCGTGGCTCGCCCCCATTATTTAATTTCCCACTTCTGTCCGCGCCTCTTTCCCGCACTGCGCACTTCTCTCAGTCACGGTTTTGGTAAGCCCACAAGCTCTAACCCCTAGTAGCCACAATGAGTAGAAAATAACGTCGCTAGAGAGCTTCTGTGAAGAGGGCGAAAGACCCAATGATGAACCCCCCCCCCCCCCCTGGTCCGTGAAAAAATTGTCTTCCACGAAACCGGTCCCTGGTGCCAACAATTTTGGAGACCGCTGCTTTAATAGTTTTTCTCTCTTCCCCCACCCCCCGTCTCTCATCTGACATCGGAGATGTCCCGCGCAACTCCATTTCAGTTTTTTTCTTGACTTTGTAAATGCCACTGTGATACCCCGTGTCTAATTCTCAATTCTTCTATTTTCTTTGTGACAGAAAATCCCGTGAAATACTTGCTAAGTGAAGATGTGCGTATATGTGTGTAGGGGAAGGAATGTGTTTTTTTGCGAGACGCTTATTAATCGGTCGCAGTCGTACGCTACGAACCGTATAAATTACGCAACGACTATAGTTTATAAATCGGAAGAGGGCAAGGCGGATTTCGTGACAAAGCGAGTGTGCGTGTGGAGCGTGTTACTCAGGCGCTGCTGAAGGCAAAGTTGAACAGAGCAAGCGGCGACCATCGTACACTGTGGCTCTTGCCGCTCTGGGAAGCAATGTAACTCGCTCCGAACACACAACACGCACTGAACCCCACATGCACCTCGTGTACACGTGGAAGATCAAAGACTTTCCTGTGTTGCGACCTAAGGCTGCGAACTTCCCAAACGATGGAGTCGTGCCGCATTATATCTTGGCACCGCTCGGACCGTGAGCTTTGAAGGCGGTGGGTGAGTGAATCTGCAACTCGCCGGCTCTCGGACAAAGCAATTGCAATGTCGCACACAACTTACAACCGGTTCAATCAATCTGAATCTTTTTACCTCCTCAATAAAGCGGGCATCGGTGCGCATTGCCGCGGAACGGGAACGGTACCGGGGAGAGGCATGAGAGAAGCAGCATCGCGAATGAAAACGGAAACCAAACCCATCACGCCCTCGACAGCTGAACACCCGTTGCTCGCAAAGTCGTACGAAGGAAGAAGGATCGCAAACAGGTGTCGAGTAGCGAAAGTCGACTTACCCATTCGCAGCTTTTGTCTTTTTGTTTTCTTGGGCCGTGCGACGTTCGTTCGGGTGCCGAGTGCCGAAGCTGGCTAAACCGAGCGTGTGTGTGCTGGGAAAGTGATGAGCTGGCTTTTGATCAAAGTTCAGTCTGGTTATTCATTTAGCCGTTGAGGTACCCGCGGTGGACTTTTTCTTTTCGGTGGGAGTTGTTTGTCCGCGCGCGTGAGAGCGTGCGCGCGAGAGCGCTGATGCGGCTGTTTTCTGCATCGCCCTTTGGATCGGGCCGCCCGAATTCGATTGCCAGCCGCGGATAACATCGGTGGCGAGAGATATCCAAAGTGGGCTGGGACCGCCGTAGATTGACTCGGGCCTTAAATGGGCCTCCAGTGAGGTGTTGCAAACTCCGGCACCGGCGCTGGCCACATCGTGCCCTTCTTACGCTTGCTTTCCGGCCTTTAGGGGTGCTCGCAAACAGCACTCGACCCAACCGTATGGGGGGGGGAGGGTCATTGTACCGTGTGTAAGAGAGAGACGGGTGCATTCAAAGCGTGTGTGTACGTGTGCGTGCATAATTAGCGGCTTGACATAACGGGTGTGAAAACGCGTTCGGGCCTGTGCGTGCGAGTTCGCGCCAGCTCGTACCCACGTGCAGACTTGTCTTAGGTTCGCACGTCTGACTTAGGTTCGCACATCCGAGTCGATTTTGTTTGGAGGTGGCGGCAACTGGAGAGACTGGGTCGTGCGTCATTTTAATAACCCCTTTCCCGTTCCGATGACGTGCGTGTACGTCATCGGTTTGCCTTCCGAATGGGAAGTAAAAGGCCCACGTGGGAGGGGCGTGTGGCACAGCTTTGGCGCCAGCTATCGTAGAGTGCGTTCGTGTCGCTACGGTTCCCCGCGGCGAGTACGGTGTCTTTTAAAAACGGCGGCGCTACGCCTCTCTAAATAAAATGAACGCCGATTCGCTTGCGCATTCCGAGATTCGGCGGCGACCGGGACACTGCACCCTGCAAACTTGCAGACGTTTCGGAACGGGAACAGGTTTCAGAGTGACCTGAAGCAGCGTACTCCCTCCAGCAAGCGTGCTCGCAACCACGCGGATGTACGATATGCATCCTCGTGTGCATTTCGCACGCTAGCTGTAAAGTAGTTTAGCAGGCTTAACAAGGTGAAGGTGCAGCCCTGCAACTGCATGGCTCGCGCCACTGCTGCCAGAAGGCACTCTCCACGAGCAGGAGCTCCAGAGAGCCCCTTGGAGGGGGTCTTTGTTTCGTTGGCCTACTCTTCTTAACGTCTTGGAAGAGGTAGGGAGAAACCCCCACACTTTAGCCCACTCCCCACGCGACGTGCCAGTCGATTGGCAAGGGCGGAGAGGCACAGGCACTTGAGAGAGAGAGAGATTTGCCTGACCGTTGTCTCGGCTGCCACGCCGGGAGATCGAATGTAACCGGCGCGACCTCTTGGAGTCCAGCGTCGCTTCGTCGTCACACCGTGGGCAGCATCCCCAATCGGAGGAGTGCTCGTGCCACTCGGAGGAGTGCTCGTGTTTAGCGCCCGTCCGTGGTGACCGGCGGCGGTGGCGGTGCCGGCGGCCTTTCTGCCTGTGACGTCTCTCTCTTCTGCTCGTGGTGTTTTTCTCTTCTAGGTGCTGCCCAGGCTGGGCAACGTCGCGTCGGCGAGATGCCTGAGTTCGTCGTTCAAGGTGCGTGGTGTGTGCGTTTTCAGCCGATTTTGAACTTTTTTTTGTGTCACTTGTGGCCCGTGCTGTATTTTTTTAATGTTAAATTTTTTTCTCTCGTCCGATTTTCCTTGGATTTGTATCCAGTTGTAACTATTACCCATTCGCATTGAAAAGATGGAAGAAAGTTGCACGCGGCGCTTTTAAACGGCGTCTCGTGTCGCAGGTTCAACCCCGGCAGACTTGTTGGGGCAGGTTAGAGGCAGCTTCGTTGGCAGTGACGCGCGCCCAGCCAGTTTGACCGACGGGCACGGCAAAATGTAAAACTACAAACTCTTTTTAGTTTTACCGGGTAAGGCCCACCACTGAGCTGCAACATAGCCCTTTTTCAGAAGCGACCTGGCTATCACAAATGATCGCTCAACGAAGTGGGCTTATCGTGTGGAAATTTGTAGCAGCCAAATAGTCTGAACGCGTGCTGACGTTGATTCTAAATGTGGAGGGAAAAACCGCAGGACCCGGCGAAAAATCCACACGACCACGGGGAGTGACACGCAAACTCCAAATATACAGCAGCAGGTGTCAGGGTCGGGATCGAACCCAGGCCCTCCTGCATACCAGGCGAGGTAGTTAACATCTCCTAGCCACCGTGATGATGATAGAGAGAGAGACACGCAAACTCCAAATATACAGCAGCAGGCGTCAGGGTCGGGATCGAACCCAGGCCCTCCTGCATACCAGGCGAGGTAGTTAACATCTCCTAGCCACCGTGATGATGATGAGAGAGAGAGACACGCAAACTCCAAATATACAGCAGCAGGCGTCAGGGTCGGGATCGAACCCAGGCCCTCCTGCATACCAGGCGAGGTAGTTAACATATCCTAGCCACCGTGATGATGATGAGAGAGAAAGACACGCAAACTCCAAATATACAGCAGCAGGCGTCAGGGTCGGGATCGAACCCAGGCCCTCCTGCATACCAGGCGAGGTAGTTAACATATTGCCACAGTGGCGTCCCCACACACTGACCCCTCCCTCCCTTGCAATGCGATGATGATGATGATGATCTTCTTTGGTTCTTTCGGTAAAGTCACGTAGAATGGAAATAATAAAGTAATACAAATTAAACATAATAAAATAATAATATAAAAAAAATGTAAATTCTGTTTTCTTTTTATTATTTTATTATTTCCATTCTACGTGACTTTACCGAAAGAACCAAGAAGATGAATCCCTGCAGTCACGAAAGCTTTAAATCGAGCTGATGATGATGATGATGATTTTTATTTAAGATCCCTTTTACGTGTCGTTTGTACTGCCTTGCCCCCCAAACCCCCCACCGTCTACTTTGTTCCGTTAGCCTGCAGGCGACATCTGCGTAGGATTGTAATACGTCGTCAAAAATCATGTTTTAGTTTTACACGCTTGCCATTCGATGCACGTGTTGTGAGCGTGAGCATCGATTTTTTTTTCTTACCCTACGGTATAATGCGCACATTTCGAGGGTGCAATCCTAATCTGAAATGCAATCCCTCTCTTTAAGTTATCGTCAATTCTCGCTTCAGTCTTTGAGATGCGCCAACATTTAGACACAAAAAAACCTCAAAAACGTGAAGTGTAATTTTATTTTTCGATTTAAAGCTTTCGTGACTGCAGGGATTCATCTTCTTGGTTCTTTCGGTAAAGTCACGTAGAAGGGAAGTAATAAAATAAGCACGGCTGCTTGCGTTGTGGCCGAAACGTCGTGAGAATTATTTTATTATGTTTTATTTTTATTATTTTATTATTTCCCTTCTACGTGACTTTACCGAAAGAACCAAGAAGATGTATTTTTATTGTAGAACCCACAGCTGACTCTGCGAGGTACTGGGCCGCCACGATGGCGGGATGTTAACTACCTCACCTGGTATGCAGGAGGTCACGGGTTTGACGCCTGCCGTATACTTTGCACCTCCCGATTCAGCACGGTTGGCTACGTGGGGTGCGAAAGAAGTTCTGCGCACGTACATAGGGGGGTGCGTGCGTGCCGGCTCCCTCCTTTAGGCGTCCGACTTACAAGTGGAGGTGACGAAGCACGGCGCCACGAAGCTGGACGTGGACAAGCTGGTGTTCGGGAAGACGTTCACGGACCACATGTTCTGCGTGGAGTGGACCGCGGGTGGCGGCTGGCAGACTCCTCGCATCCAGCCGTTCCAGAACCTGTCGCTGCACCCTGCCTCGTCCTCCCTCCACTACTCCATAGAGGTGACGGCGGTGGAGGGGGGGTCGTTGACATGGATTCTATAATAAAGTTGTTGTTGTTGTTGGGTTTGATGGCGTTAAATATAAATGTGTCGTGAAACCCGCCGCCACGCGGCCGATCCGTGAGGTTCGTCGCGTAAACGAAACGTGAGTGAACCCAAACGGGAGTTGAAACCTGGAGCGTTGGCAATTGGAGTACGACGCTTGCTCAGGCGATGGCCAGAGTTGAGGAGGAGTAGAAGAAGTCCTCTCGTTTCGGTCTCGAATAGAGGGGCGTAAATGTGACGTCATCACGGTGAGCCTATCAGGTGCGAAGACCAGAGGGGGCGGGGGTCAACGTACCCGTCGTGTAAGTAAACAGTGGGTCATGTTAATCTGAGAATATGCCACACACATCATTGGTTGGGTCCTTCACCGTTCATCGGCATACGTAAATGTACGTACATTACGTCGATCTGAGAGGTGTGCAGAGACTGTGCAGTTGGATCCTGTGCTCGTCCGTTGCGGTTCATCGTGCCGATTCAGCCGTCCGCCGCCGTGGTTAAGTGTCGCCGCTTCATTGCCGTCTCCCGTGCAGCTGTTTGAGGGCATGAAGGCGTTTCGTGGCGTGGACAACAAGGTGCGGATGTTCCGGCCGATGCTCAACATGGAGCGGATGCACCGCACGGCGCTGAGAGCCAGCTTGCCCGTACGTACGCACGCACGCACCGAGGTCTCCCCCCCCCCCCCTTCCGCCGCTAGTCCACTCCCTCCCCGCCATGTCCGCTTCCCCCGTGCGCCCCCTTTGTACGGAGATTCTCCGGCGGATGACACCGTGTCTCCGTCGCACGTCTGTCCTGACCACGTAAAGAAAAATCCTTTAAATTTCGATTTAAAGCTTTCGTGACCGCAGGGATTCATCTTCTTGGTTCTTTCCGTAAAGTCACGTAGAAGGGAAGTAATAAAATATTAAAAAATTAACATAATAAAATAATTCTCACGACGTTTCGGCCACAACGCAAGCAGCCGTCCTCAGGTGAAAACCAGGTCTGTCGAGGCGACGGCTGCTTGCGTTGTGGCCGAAACGTCGTGAGAATTATTTTATTATGTTTTATTTTTATTATTTTATTATTTCCCTTCTACGTGACTTTACCGAAAGAACCAAGAAGAAGAAATATCCTTTTTTACTTTTACCTAAAACTAAACTATAAACAATTTTTTTTTACCACAGTATCTAGATCTTTTTCAGCAGCGACCTGAGCCACAGACGCGAGCTCAACAAAGTGGCTCGTCACGTGGAGATGTGGAGCACACAAATCCTCTGAACGCGTGACGTTGATTCTAAATGTGGAGGGTTACCGCGTGGATGTTATTTTATATTGGCAGATTCGTACACGATTATTCGCCAATGACTCTCACGTAAGATATAATTTCCCACGTTCCTAAATCAACTCTCGCGTCGTACGCCCCCCCCCTTCCTTCCCGCACAGAGCTTTGACACGGCCGAGTTGTGCGAATGCATTCGTAAGCTGGTGGAGGTGGACAAGGACTGGGTTCCCCACTCGACCAAGGCCAGCCTCTACCTCCGCCCGACCTTCATTAGCACAGAGGTACGAGTCGGCGGCGGTGGCGGCGCATTATCGGCCTGCGAGGGGATCTCCCGCAGCGGGGCAACGGTTCGACGCGCAAACCTACACCGTGCGCGCGTGTGTGTGCGCGCATGTGTGTGCGTGCGCGTGTGTGTGCGGGCGTGTCTTTTTTAAATCCTTTATATTAAGTTCGCTCGCTTGCTTGCTTGTGTGCTTGCTCGTTGTGCGTGACAATTAATTTTCGTGAAAATTTTTTTCCAAAATTTTCCACTGTTTAGGGAATTTTTTAACAATATTTAATTACCAATTGTTTAATACTGCAGACAATCATCTGACTTTGTTTTTACGGGTTAATTTTTTGCCTTTGTGTCGCGCGCAGCAAACGCTGGGCGTATCGCGGCCGGGCCGGGCCCTGCTCTTCGTGATCCTGTCTCCCGTCGGGCCCTACTTCAGCACCGACGGCTTCAGCCCCGTGGCGCTGCTCGCCGACCCGCAGCACGTCCGCGCCTTCAAGGGCGGCGTCGGCGATTGTAAACTCGGGGGGTGCGTCGTTACATCTCACCCGGGGGCCCGGGGGTGGCTATAAGAGACGTTAACTGCCTCGCCTGGTATACGGGACGTCGTGGGTTCGATCCCTACCCTGACGCCTGCTGTATTTTATATTTGGAGTTTGCGTGTCTCTCTCTCTCTCTCCCCCCGTGGTCGTGTTGATTTTTCTCCGGATCTTCCGGTTTCTCCCTCCACATTTTCGAATCGACGTCGCGCGTTTAGAGTAATTGTCCGCGATACATCTACACGCGATAAGCCACCTTTTTGTTGGGGCTAGCATTTGTGGCCCAGGCCGCTTCTGAAAAGCGCTCTATATCTTAGCGGGGGCCTTACCCGGTAGAATAAGAAATAGTTCAGTTTAGTTTGCCTTTCTATCTGTCTGTCCGTACGCCGTGTTCTACAAGAGGCTCCTGCTCAGCCCTAGCACATTACTCCACCGGAATATCGATTGCCACGCGCAAGACGCGGCCAGGTCCCTGCAACTGCCGTACCCGGGCTCTACGACGCGAGCCGTGACGTAGCCGACACGCTGGCGTGTGGCGTAGTATCATGGACGAGGCCACATTTATTACAACTCGCGCTTCTACGGGAGGTCCGCCAAAAACATTACCAAGCTGCAGCATGGGCAGGATTCCCTGGCGCGCGTCGTCACGCGTGCCGCAAGATCCGACCGTGCCCCGTCCAGTGCTCGCTGAGCTGCATTGCCTTCCAATTGCCGAACAAATACATTGCAAGGTCCCACAAATGCACCACCAACATCCCGTTGCTGATCTTTTCAAGCAGCATAAACCATCACCGCGCGCACTCCGGTCATCCCCGCAGCGGCTTTTGGCTCGGCCATCGAACGAAGGCGGTCGCCGCATCGCGCGGCGCTTTGAGATGCGCTTCTGCGGCCGTCTGGAACGTTGTTCCGTTCCGAAATTATGGAAGCGACTGGAAGCTACGCACTTTTGAATCCTCTGGATAGAAAACTAATTTATTTAGAACTGCTTGTTGTTGTGTTTAGCTTTGTTGTCCTACCCCCGCACCTCCGATCAGCGCGGTTTACTACGTACCGTGCGAAGTAAGTTCAGCACACAAACACACACGCGACAATAGTCTCGTACAATCGAAGGTAAAGTTCGGTGTTCCGCGTGTGACGCCGTGCAGGAACTACGGCCCGACTATCTACGTCCAGAACCTGGCCATTCAGCAGGGCTGCCAGCAGGTGCTGTGGCTCTACGGAGACACTGAGCAGATCACGGAAGCCGGAACGATGAACCTCTTCCTTTACTGGATCAACGAGCAAGGAGGTTTGGACTGGAGCCACGCCCTTTCATTCGCCGTTCGAAAGCCGCGCACGCTGACACCGCAATCCAAGTTTGCCAAATGTAAAAAAACGACTCACAAATTACTCGATTTTGGGATTGCATGCGTAGCAATCGTCGCCCTCCCCTCGGCAGACTAACATTTGATTGCAGCCCGAGTCGCCCTGTGCTGCACAGGGACAGCTGCCGCTGGGGGTGCCTTGCCGGGGGGGGGGGCGAGTTCCTTACCGCGTGTGAAGTTCTCTCGGAAGCCCCCGTGGCTTAAAGGGTGCTCGGTCAACAGCACGAGTCGTTGTTACAGACCATCGTTACTCTCTCGCTCGCTCGCCGTTGTTACTCCTCATTCACTCGCTCGCTCGTCGTTGCACTTGACTTCTGCAGAGGAAGAGCTGGCGACTCCACCGCTGGACGGCATCATCCTGCCTGGGGTGACTCGCCAGAGCCTGCTGGACCTCGCTCGGCAGTGGGTACGTGTCTGGGCTGTGGGTACATGTCCAGGGCTGTGGGTACGTGTCCATGCAGTGGGTACGTGTCGGGGCTGTGGGTACGTGTCTGGGCTGTGGGTACGTGTCGGGGCTGTGGGTACGTGTTGGGGCAGTGGGTACGTGTTGGGGCAGTGGGTACGTGTCCAGGGCAGTGGGTACGTCTTGGGGCATGGTTAAAGGACGACAAACTAAACACAAATCGGTTCTAAAGAAATGAGTTTTCAGTCTAGATGATGTAAAAGTGCATAGCTCCAATGGCTTCCTAATATCGGAAGGAAGAGCGTTCCACACGGCCGCAGAAGCGCGTCTGAAAGCACAGCGCGATGCGGTGACCGCCTTTGTTCGATGGTTTAGCCAGAAGCCGCTGCTGTTAGGATGACCGGAGTTCGCGTGACGACGGTTTATGCTCCTTGATGAGGTCGGCAAGGCATTGTGGTTCATTTGTGGCAAGCGCTCCGTGTGCAATGCTCTGCCGTGGTTCCCTTTCGGGCTTCTCCGGATTCCTCTGGGCGGCCAATGTGCGTGAACGTGCACACGTATGTCGAGCTACCTTTGGCACCGTGCGTAGCCGACCACGCCGATCGTAGGCGCGACGACACGGAGTCTCGCCGAGAAACATCCTGGCGAGGCAGACGCCCGCGCGAAGGAAGAGTTTTCTAAACAACTCCGCGTCGCTCGCCCCCCCCCCCCCCCACCGAGACGCGTCTTCATCCTGACAACGCTGAGCTCGTCACGTGCGTTGCTGACGACGACGACGACGTCGATGTCGTCATCGCCGTTGATGTCGTTGTCGTTGTTTGGTCGGTCGCAGTCGCTTTGCGTCCAGGGCGAGTTCAAGGTGTCGGAGCGGTACATCACCATGGCGGACCTGCAGAAGGGGCTGCGGGAGGAGCGTGTCAAGGAGATGTTCGGAGCTGGGACCGCGTGCGCGGTCTGTCCAGTCGACAGAGTGCTGTACAACGGACAGGTGAGCACCCGATCCTGGTGGGCGGGCGATGCGGTTATGGCGGAGCCGGCGTCGTGCGGCGTCCGAAGTCATCCGGTCGGGGCACGGGGTCAGAACGTTACGGTGGCAAACGATTGCAAAAGCGCAATAGGAGTGCAAAGTATCGGAAAGGTAAGAAAATCACTTGAAAAAAATAAATAAACATTACAATTTATTTTAAGGCCCACTTAGCTATATAGCTCTTTTACGTAAACGACCTGGCCACAAATGATAGCTCAACGAAGAGGCTTAAAAGCAGCCAATCGCTCTGAACGCGTGATGTCGATTCTAAATGTGGAGGGGAAAAACCGAAGGAACCGGAAAAAAATCCACGCGACCACGGGGAGAGAGCCACGCAAACTTCAAATATACAGCAGCAGGTGTCAGGGTGGCGATCGAATCCACGACCACCTGCATACCAGGCGAGGTAGTTAACATCTCACCAGTGGCCTTAGCGAGCGAGCACCTATGAAGGCCGGCACGGCACACGAGAGTGGATGGGTTGACCAGCACCACGCCCGGCCGCCTTTGTCTTACCGAGGGGCGATGTTTACTACACACCGCAGCAGGTACTCATTTGTGACGGAGTCGACCTAGGGGAGGCCCAGGACCGATTCAGATAGTCGTCCCTGTTGATGGTGTTGTTGTCCGCGAGCAGGAATCGAACTCGGGCTGGCCGTGGTGTCGGTAGCGCGGCCAGCAGCATCGTGTGCAACAGCAGCTTCGTGTGCCGTGTTCTCTACGGTAGGAATCTGACAAGGCAGCAGAGTAGCCATCGTTGCGCTGTCGCTGTGCTGAAAGAAGTTGCTGACGAGTCATTCTCTGAGTAACCAAATCTGCGTGAAGTACGGAAACAGTTTCCGCGACAACGACCTCAAAGAGTGTAACACCAGTGGTGCTATCGCGTGTCCGTTGAAGGCAGGGGTCGGGATCCTTATCGTTACCGAGGGGCCGAATAGAATGCCATGGGCTGGCGGCCCGCATACCTTCTCTCAACCCGCACCCAACCCCCCCCGACCTTGTCGCAACGTGCGTAGCCAACCGCGCTTATCGCAGATGCGGGGCACGGACAACAAACTGTGGGTCTCTGCGTGAGTCTGTGTGTCTCTGTGTGAGTCTGTGGGTCTCTGTGTGAGTCTGTGGGTCTCTGTGTGAGTCTGTGGGTCTCTGTGTGAGTCTGTGGGTCTCTGTGCGAGTCTCTGTGTGAGTCTGTGGGTCTCTGTGTGAGTCTGGGTCTCTGTGCGAGTCTCTGGGTCTCTGTGCGAGTCTGTGGGTCTCTGTGCGAGTCTGTGGGTCTCTGTGCGAGTCTGTGGGTCTCTGTGTGAGTCTGTGGGTCTCTGTGTGAGTCTGTGGGTCTCTGTGTGACTCTGTGGGTCTCTGTGTGAGCCTGGGTCTCTGTGTGAGTCTGGGTCTCTGTGTGAGTCTGTGGGTCTCTGTGTGAGTCTGGGTCTCTGTGTGAGTCTGTGGGTCTCTGTGTGAGTCTGTGGGTCTCTGTGCGAGTCTGTGGGTCTCTGTATGAGTCTGTGTGTCTCTGTGTGAGTCTGTGCGTCTCTGTGCGAGTCTGTGGGTCTCTGTGCGAGTCTGTGGGTCTCTGTGCGAGTCTGTGGGTCTCTGTGTGAGTCTGTGGGTCTCTGTGTGAGTCTGGGTCTCTGTGCGAGTCTCTGGGTCTCTGTGCGAGTCTGTGGGTCTCTGTGTGAGTCTGTGGGTCTCTGTGTGAGTCTGGGTCTCTGTGCGAGTCTGTGGGTCTCTGTGCGAGTCTGTGGGTCTCTGTGCGAGTCTGTGGGTCTCTGTGCGAGTCTCTGGGTTTATGTGCGAGTCTGTGGATCTCTGCGTGAGTCTATGGGTCTCTGTGTGAGTCTATGGGTCTCTGTGTGAGTCTGTGGGTCTCTGTGCGAGTTTATGTCTCTGTGTGAGTCTGTGGGTCTCTGTGCGAGTCTGTGGGTCTCTGTGCGAGTCTGTAAATCTCTGTGCGAGTCTGTGGGTTTCTGTGCGAGTCTCTGGGTCTCTGTGCGAGTCTGTGGGTCTCTGTGCGAGTCTCTGGGTCTCTGTGCGAGTCTGTGGGCCTTTGCGCGAGTCTGTGGCAGAGGTCGCAAACGGGTTTTGATTCCTTACCCGTACCCGGCCGCACCAGGGTCGCAAATGGGTACCCGTACCCGGCTGGGTACGGGTACCCGTTTCCTACCCATACCCTACCCGAAATGAGTGACAAACGGTGACTCACCAGTGACTCACGGCCTACCCGTACCCTTACCCGGCCGCACCAGGGTCGCAAACGGGTACCCGTACCCGTACCTGGCCGGGTACGGGTAGCCGGGTATCGGGTAGGGTACGGGTATCGGGTACCCGGTTGCGACCTCTGGTCTATGGGTCTCTGTGCGAGTCTCTGGGCCTCTGTGCGAGTCTGTCTCTGTGTGAGTCTATGGGTCTCTGCGCGAGTCTTTGGGTCTCTGTGCATGTCTCTGGGTCTCTGTGTGAGTCTATGGGTCTCTGTGCGAGTCTCTGTGTCTCTGTGTGAGTCTATGGGTCTCTGTGCGAGTCTCTGGGTCTTTGTGTGGGTCTATGGGTCTCTGTGCGAGTCTGTGGGTCTCTGTGCGAGTCTATGCGGCTCTGCGAGTCTGTGGGTCTCTGTGCGAGTCTATGGGTGTCTGTGCGAGTCTATGGGTCTCTGTGCGAGTCTCTGGGTCTCTGTGCGAGTCTCTGGGTCTCTGTGTGAGTCTCTGGGTCTCTGTGTGAGTCTGTGTGTCTCTGTGTGTAAGTTTATCTTTTGCACCGTATGTAGCCGACCGTGGTAACCGGAGGTGCGGGGGCTCATCTGCGACGGGCGTCTTCTGTGTGCGTCAAACGGTGCTCAGCTTTCGCCGCTGTCTCCATTTTTTGGTGTTTTTGTTTTTGTGTCCAGAACCTTCACATACCGACGATGGAAAACGACGGCCCCAAGATCGCGACTCGCTTCCTGCAGGCGCTCACAGATATCCAGGTAAGAACGCCACCCAGAGCCACCCCCGCCACACCCCTCTGTCGCTCCCACGCCGCGTTCATCACGGCGGCCTTCATCATTAGACCTCCTTTGCCAGTACCAAAATATAATAATAGTGGGGTTTTTCCCCTTTTTTTCTGGCAACAAAACTGAAACCTTTTTACGAGGATTCATGTCTGCATTAACCACAATACTTGCGGTCAAAATGCAAACCAAAAACACACTATGATAATATATGCATTGTCCTTGAAACTGATTGGTCCACAGCAAGGGACGACTTTGCTTGTAAAAAGGTTTCAGTTTTGTTGCCAGAAAAAAGGGGAAAAACCCTATTATCACGGCGGCCTTGTTTGACGAGACAGCCTGCCGTTCTCCTAGAACGCGGTCGTGGTAGTTGCGTTCCTGAAGAACACCGCGTTATTATAGCAAATCATCTAGAATGTAGGGGTAAAGCACGGTCCGCGATAACGCGTGAGATGCCTACGCACGTGGGTAGCATCTAGAAGCATCCAGCAGCATCCCAATGCCTTGTGTGATGATGCTACGCCGAGGCAACTGTCCAACGGTGACAACGTAGTTTCCGTTTCGCTCAATCGCGTTATATCCAGTTCGCGTCCGCGTCATGAAAAGACTTGTTCCCCAAATTCATTAATCGCGTTGTATATCCACTTCGCGTTCTGAAAACCACACGCGGCGTTCTAGGAGAACAGCAACTGCTAGGTCGCCACGCAGGTCGGTGCAGGTTCGGTGAGAGGGGCGCCGCTTGCGCCGCTGGCGTTAGCCGTTGACGGGAACGGGAAACGCAGAGTCGTCGCCAGTTCGTGCGCCCGCTTCTCCTTGTTTACGAAGACAAACACTCCCCCCCCCCCCCCCAGTGTAGCCTAAGCAGACTGTAGGGGCAAGTGCTGTTAGGCTGTTAGCGAGCAGTACCTCTGAAGGCCGGCACGGCACATGAAGGGGCGTGGGTGGCCAGCACCACGCCCGGCCGCCTTTGTCTCCCCTTACAGCTCGTGGGGTTCCTCCAGTGTAAATAAATATTTAGATTCTGACCCATGCCGCTACAGCAAAGAGGGCCGGGCGGGGGGGTCTAGGTTCGATTCCCGGCTCGTGTGCCATTCTCCGCCGAGTTTGTACCTTCTCTCCCCGTTCTGCACGGTGGTTACCCCTACGGATTCTCCGGTTTCCTCGTGTGGCTTAAACAAAAAACACACACACGCATTTGTAACGTAACCGTTATTGATCCGAATATTTCCCAGTGATAAAGAATCGCCTGCAAATTACTCGGTTGGCACGAAGCGTGGCAACATCGCCGCCCAGCCCCTCCTGAGAAAACTTGGCAGCGTCGTTCTGAAACAAAAAAATCTTGAGACCCAGTGGTGGGTTCTTTCTGGGAAAAAACGCGTTTAATCGCAACAACAACAACATCAACAACAACAGTCACCATTGCGGAATGTTGCACCGCAGTTGGTCGGAGGGGCTGGGTTTTTTTTCTAGACCTCTTGACGTGAACGTACGTACGTACGTACGTGTGTGTTGGACGTTCGTAGCCCGTTTTGCGAGCGGTGGATATCGCAATTGCGTGCCGCGCGAGCGATCTCGAAGGAAGCCCCGCTAAATCACGCGCTGTTCACCGTGTGTGTGTGTGTATTTTTGCAGTACGGACGAACCGAGAGCGAGTGGATGCACCTGGTCGATTAATACCTCGCCTCGCGAGCAACGAGCGGGCGAAAAAAAAACCACAGTTTGCACAACGGACACGCGTGCGCACACTTCGCGGGGAGCGCCGAAGCCCGCCATCAATCGCACCTTGGGTTGAGACCGCGAAATCGAAAAAAAAATTTCAACTTCCTCAACAGCTCACCGTTGTTACCCGACCAGCCTTATTGGCCATCTTCTCTCGCTCTCTCTCTCTCTCTCGTGGAACAAGCTGAGCCCTCCTTGTGAATGTATCTCTTTTGGTCTTCTCTGCGTCTGTCTGTTTGTCGGTCTCTAAATTCCTGTGTATCTTCCTCTGCGTTTGAGCGCTCTGGAAATCGGCCTCTTGCAGTGTTCTTCACTGATTGTCAGAGGGGGGTGGTGGGGGGGGGTGGTGGGGGCATTTCCCCCTATAAGACATCATCGGTGCGAGGGCCGCCACACGTTTGAAACCATTGGGGAAGAGGTCGCAACCGGGTACCCGATACCCGTACCCTATACGATACCCGGCTACCCTTACCCGGCCGGGTACGGGTACGGGTACCCGTTTGCGACCCTGGTGCGGCCGGGTACGGGTAGGCCGTGAGTCACTGGTGAGTAACCGTTTGTCACTCATTTCCCAACGTCTTGTCTCTTCTCACGATTCAAGTTCCTAGAATCAACCCACCCGCGCCTGCAACGTGGCTTCGTCCCAGAGGTCGCAATCCGGTACCCGATATCTGTACCCGGCCGGGTACAGGTAGGGTACGGGTACGGCCGGGTACCCGTTTGCGACCCTGGTGCGGCCGGGTACGGGTAAGGAATCAAAACCCGTTTGCGACCTCTGCATTGGGGGTTTGACAGCAGCACGACGATGATGATGAGTGGTGTGATGATGAGTGGTGTGATGATGAGTGGTGTGATGATGATGATGAATGGTGTGATGATGAGTGGTGTTTTGATGAGTGGTGTGATGATGAGTGGTGTGATGATGAGTGGTGTGATGATGAGTGGTGTGATGATGAGTGGTGTGATGATGATGACGATGAGTGGTGTGACGATGAGTGGTGTGACGATGAGTGGTGTGACGATGAGTGGTGTGACGATGAGTGGTGTGACGACGAGTGGTGTGACGACGAGTGGTGTGACGATGAGTGGTGTGACGACGAGTGGTGTGACGAGTGGTGTGACGACGAGTGTTGTGACGACGAGTGTTGTGATGACGAGTGTTGTGATGACGAGTGTTGTGATGACGAGTGGTGTGATGACGAGTGGTGTGATGATGAGTGGTGTGATGATGAGTGGTGTGATGATGAGTGGTGTGATGATGAGTGGTGTTTTCACGAAAGGCCACCAGGGGACAGCCAGTGGGCCCGCGGTGCCTTGCAATGAAGAACACTGCGCTTCTCACAGTAACGTTCTGCTCTAGTTCTGTAGTTTCCAGATACTCGGACCACTGCAATAACAGGTGATCCTTCATTGTAAAAGTGTACTTCGTTGGCATTTCAGCTTCCTTTTATTTCTGCAAACCACATCGCCGGATCGACATCCGTGTGCGAGTGTATTTATTCGCCGCGCAAAGGGCAATGCTTGAATGCAGAACTTGTGACGACGTTGGGGGCGGCACCCTCACATCAGGCGAGTTGGAATGGCTGGAAGAATGGTGTTGTGAAGGCGCTCGCCACTGAACCGAATGCATTTACTCTTGTGCCCATGACACAACACACCCCCCCCGCCTTTGCGTTTTGCAGAAGTGCTAATTTTGAAGCTGCACGATTTCAGCATTTCATAGTCGTCGTCTGCACCCCTGCGCGAGCACTCGGGGAAATCGGGGAAACCACTATTCGCGATTGTCCTGAAGGAGCAAGCCCAGTACACACGTGGGCAGACTCACGTTGCCCCAATGTTGCCCCAACGTTTGGGCAACCTTGGAGCAACGTTGGCCCCAACGTTCCATGTTTATTCCTGGGAGTGAGATGAGCTCATGTGCAAAGTGGTGCATTTTGACATTAAAGGGCTGTGTGGGATGTTGGCTGTCGTGGGCAGAGGCCTTCAACCAGCAGTGGATAGACAGATGGTGATTAACATGTCACTATGAAGGTTGATGTGCTATGTAACTGCACCAATGGGAAGAGAGCCTCCAGGCTTGATAATGTAAATCCGGTCACCCTCTTTCCCGTTGCACGCATACCTCTTGGGGCGCTCGCGATGCAGTTCTTGGTCAACCGAGCGCTATACGAAACGGCGCTAATGGGGGTCGTTATAACATGGTTCCAATGGAGATACGTTACCTACAGAGCTTGCTTTTTTTCTTCTTTCACCTATGAGCGATATTGTTTCGGGCCTTATTGGGGGGGCTTCATTGGGTATCGGTAATAGCCTTAATAATGATAATGTACACATGGTAAATGTATTAAAGCATCTTATAAATAATAATAGCGTTTAATGGTAATGACATTTTAAAAATACAATAAGTTGCGTACTCGGCGGTGCATTCGGTCGGAGCTTGCAGAAGATTAACCACGCTCTGCAAACAAATGCACATTCCGCGGGTAGCGATACTAGTGGCATTCTTCGACCCACGGATGACCATTGAATCCATGCAGTGATGAACCCGTGATGGATCGACACTCTTACGTGGCTGTCCCGTCGAACTGAGTGCAGAGTCGATACAACGGACCCCGCGATTCCAGGTTCCACAAGGCCAAATATGGGCAGAGACATGACCCCTACAGGGGCAATGCCTACTTCCTTGCATATATGGAATTTTCCTCCGGGACGAACGGCGTCGCAACCAAACGAGTGCTATGAGAGGCAGCGCTATAAGAGGTATGCCTGTATTCCGTTTCGAACGGGGTGGGTCGGGTGTGGGATCCGAGACCATTCTCAGCATCCCGTTGATTTGCAGCGATCGATCGAACGACACGTGTGTGTGTCCACCGCCCACTCGTCAACTTCACGTGCGGTGTCGCCAGCCCCGAGCGGGGAGCGTCGTCTGCGTCGAACCATCTCCCCCCCCTCCCCCTCGTGTTCCCCTCTTGTCGGGTGGCGTCACGAACTGAAGCCCGCGCGGTTTTGATTTTTCTGTCGCTGCCCTCGACTGCGGAGCCGTGCTCGACGCACGAGCCATGCCCCGCGCACGTAACAAGTCGTCGTTTCTTGTTTTTGTGTTTTTGCCCGGCGGGGCGCTGATGCGGTGTCGCGGATCGCGGGCGGTTGGCGGCGGTGGCGGTGGTGCAGCCGGCCCTGCAATCCGGAAGTCGCCGGTTTGATTCGCCCGGTTGTGACGTCACAATCAGGTGACCTCACAATCAGGGTGACGTCACAACGGTTGGCACGGAGACGCTTTGACATTCGCGGGCGACCGCCTTTGCCTCCTTCGCGTCGATGGTTTTTTTTTGCACACCGCGACCGGGTACTCGTTTGAGGCCGAGTCGACCTAGTGGAGGCCCACGGACGGTCTCGTATTTCATCGTCAGCTGGCGGGTTGGTGGCCGTGAGCGGGAATTGAACTCGGCGTCGCCCTCGGTCTGTGCCACCGCTCAATCCCCCTCCACCCATCCCCCGGACGTAGCAGGCGCGTATTTAGTGCCGTGGGCCAATTTGCTCTGCAAACAGCAACGAAAAGCTTTCTTCTGTCCAAAAAAATTCAAAAATTCCCCCAAGAAAGTGATTAAAAATAAATGATTCTGCAACGAACGCTGATCAACCTTTTTAAAAAAAAAAACCCATCGTAAGTAGAAACACTCCTCTGTGCTTTACAACCATGTTGCCACGTCACGATGACCATTCTATACGGAACTCAACACCGCTCGGTTTGGTATCGAGGCGCGCGTCTCGTGTGCGGTGCATAGGTCCCGGTCAGTTTGAAAAGAGATTATGTACATGCAGTGTTCGTCGGAGTTCGCTGTATGTGAGCAGTGGTTGTAGGAGCCTAGTCTCCACGTGTTAAATTGAGCTGAACTACAGATGTAAAGGAACGTCTCTGGGACTTCAATGGATGCCTGGTCTGCTCGCCGACCTGTGGATGCTCGGCAAGTCCTCGTTTAACGCGCCAGCCGCAGATGCGTTCCTGCAAAGTGCCACGTTAAGCGAAAACAATTTACCCATAAACAATGCGGCGACGTCTTCTTGGTTCTTTCGGTAAAGTCGCGTAGAAGGGAAATAATAAAATAATAAAAATTAAACAATAAAATACAATTCTCACGACGTTTCGGCCACAACGCAAGCAGCCGTCCTCAGGTGAAGAACAGGGCTGTTGGAAAGACAGCGTCTGAATGAACACCACCAAGCTTGGCAGCGTATATTTAAGCTGGGTTGGAGGGGGAAGGGCGCCTTGACTTAAGGAATTTGCATATCAGCAGAGGAATTTTATCTTAAATATACGCTGCCAAGCTTGGTGGTGCTCATTCAGACGCTGTCTTTCCGACAGCCCGGTTCTTCACCTGAGGACGGCTGCTTGCATTGTGGCCGAAACGTCGTGACAATTATATTTTATAATGTTTTATTTTTATTATTTTATTATTTCCCTTCTACGTGACTTTACCGAAAGAACCAAGAAGATCAATCCCTGCAGTCACGAAAGCTTTAAATCGAAATGTAGCGACGATGAAGTTTGGCGAGATACGATGTACTACTGCTACACGCGCACGCGGGCACACATACAGATGATGGGAACAAATAACTTCAGGGTACGGCCGCCGCGTTGCCGTATCCCTCCGCGTACCGCTCGGCTGCAGCAGCTCAAGAAAGTAGTTAGTCGTCGACCGCTCAGAAGCCGCGCGTCATGCAAAAACGTGCCCCCTGATGGACAAAATCCGCGTTGTAGCGAAAATGCGTTGTGCGAGCACGCGTTAAGCGAGGACTTGCCGCGTATTTACTACACGCGGTGCTCGGATGATTTAGCTCTGCTTGGTTTGTTGTGAGTAGCTATTGTCTCTCTTTGGTTGTGAGCGATTACACGACGTTTGCACGATTTTCTTTCTTGCGTTTCTGTTGCGGTGTTGTTAGTCTGCTTCTCCAAGTAAAGTGAGTGTTGTTTTGCCATGTGCGTTGCTACCACACACACACTCTCTCGGAGCTCATCCGTTATCATTTTCAGTTCATTTGAAATCCGTGAAATGTAACATCCCTCCGTCGTTCAACTAAAGCCGTTTGCTGGTGTCTGGAAATGTTTGCCGTCTGTAAGTTAATTTTCTCGTTTCCTCAATAAAGCATACGTACACGTGGCAGTTTTGACAGCGTGCCTGCCTAAGTATCGTTCTAGATATTTGCTCCATCGCTCCCTGCTGCTTGTACTGTCAAGCAAAATAGGGCCTTGCATCGGTTATATCTGCCACGGTGGCTAGGAGATGTTAAGTACCTCACCTGGTACACAGGAGGTCGGGGATTCGATCCCGACCCTGACACCTGCTGCTGTATTTGGATGTTTGCGGTGTCTCTCCCTCCTCCCGTGGTCGCGTGGATTCCTCCTGGTTTTCCCCTCCACATTTAGAAACGCTCGTTTCGAGTATATTGACTGCTATAAATGTCCACGCGATGAGCCCACTTCGTTGAGCTTTCATTTGTGATAGCCAAGTTGGTTATGAAAAAGAGCTACATTGCTCAGTGGGGGCTTTACCAGGTAAAAACACATTCCTGCGGAGGGAGCTGGTAGGAACGTTGGGTTGCTCGGTCAATGGCCAGGGTCAACGGCGGCGTGGTGTATTCCGCAAATATGGCCGACTTTGAGGGCGGGCACAAGCCGGCGTGAGTAGGTTAAACGTTGAGTTTTATAAGGGCACCACGGGGTGACCAGCCCCTCTCCACCCAGCCCCACCCCTCCCACCCCCCACCCAGCCCCTCCCCACCCTGCCCCTTCCCACCCTCCCCACCCAGCCCCTCCCTCCCCACCCAGCTCCTCCCTGCACGAAGGACGGACACAATAATCCCCTGTAGGCTGGTGGAACCAGTGGGTTCCTAACAGTATTAACATTCTTTAGTTTAGTTCAATAACTGGGACGCGATTATTCACACAGCCCCACAGCAAATTGCCAATGGCAAGAGGCATTCATCCCCCTGTGTATGGCAATAATCTAATCCTGTGTCGCTGGTCAATACCGCTCATTAATAACAGACAACACAAGTCAAAGTTATACTGGTAGGAACCTCCTGGTTACACCAGCCCACATGGGATTATTGTGTCCGTCGTGCAGGGAGGGGCTGGGTGGGGAGGGAGGGGCTGGGTGGGGAGGGGCTGGGTGGGGCTGGGTGGGGGGGCTGGGTGGGGAGGGGCTGGTCACCCCGTGGTGCCCTTATAAGACTCAACGTTTAACCTACTCACGCCGGCTTGTGCCCGCCCTCACAGTCGGGCATATTTGCGGAATACACCACGCCGCCGTTGACCCTGGCCATTGACCGAGCAACCCAACGTTCCTACCAGCTCCCTCCGCAGGAATGTGTTGTTGTAATTGTTGGTGTTTAGGTTTGTACACGAGAGACGGCTTCGCATTGGAAAGCGAGCTGCACCCACCATGACTTTACAATGACCCTCACCCCCACTCCCCAGCCCCTACTCGAGGAACAAAATCGACACTTCCGAAAGGTAACAGCAGGGGGCGCTCGCCGCACGTGGAGAGGCGGGAGCCCTCGACAGCAACGGGAAACTTTAGATTTGAAGTTTTCGTGACTGCAAGGATCCATACTCTTTGGTTCTTTCGGTAAAGTCACGTAAGTGGAAAAAAAAAGAAAATAACTAACAAAAAATTTGTCTTAACTTTTTTTTCACCTACGTGACTTTACCGAAAGAACCAAAGGGAATGGGAAACGTGGCAAGTGACGGAATCGGGCGTCGGTAAACAGTGCATGTCAGGCGACGTTTCGGGCAATTGTCCCATTATTCGTGGCACATGACAGAGGCAGGCCAGAGAGGTGAGAGTTGGTGAAGAGTGTGGAGACCGCAACTTACGTTGCTGTAATTAAGACGCCGTGGGTACGAGGGGGGCACGGTGGCTCGGGAGATGTTAACTACCTCGCCTGGTGTACAGGAGGTCGTGGGTTCGATCCCGACCTTGACGCCTGCTGCTGTATGTTTGGAGTTTGCGTATCTTTCTCTCTCATCATCATCACGGTGCCTAGGAGATGTTAACTACCTCGCCTGGTATACAGGAGGTCGTGAGTTCGATCCCGACACTGACGCCTGCTGCTGCTGTATATTTGGAGTTTGCGTGTCTTTCTCTCTCATTATCATCATCACGGTGGTTAGGAGATGTTAACTACCTCGCCTGGCCTACAGGAGGTCGTGGGTTCGATCCCGACCCTGACACCTGCTGCTGTATATTTGGAGTTTGCGTGTCTTTCTCTCTCATCATCATCATCATCATCACGGTGGCTAGGAGATGTTAACTACCTCGCTTGGTCTACAGGAGGTCGTGGGTTAGACCCTGACGCCTACTGCTGTATATTTGGAGTTTTGCGGTGTCTCTCTACCCGTGGCGGCGTGGATTTTTCTCCGTGCCCTCCGGTATTTCCCCCCACATTTAGAATCGACGTCGCGCGTTTAGAGCGTTTGGGCTACAAAACTTCCACACGACGACGACGATGATGATCCACTTGGTTGAGCTATCGTTTGTGATGGCGAGGTCGCTTTGAAAAAGAGCTACTTTATAGCAGCTCACTGGGGCCTTACCTGGTCAAATAAAAAAAGTTTGAAGGGTTAGAGGGTTTGCTGTAACGAATGCGTAACGGATCTGTGGGCAATTTAAGAAGCGATGTGGCCCTCACGCGGATGCGGGTTTGTTTGAAATGAAGTTGTAGGAGGAGGATTTTTCACCCATGGGTGGAGTTTTTTAGGGGGGGGGCATGGAGGGGGCACGGAGGGGGGCACGGGGGGGGGGTTGTACGGGGGGGGGGGCACGCGGGTGGGGGGCAACGCCCTCCCAAACTGACCACCCAAACTGACCACCTTTATTAATTTATTTCCAGTGCTTTACGATAAAGATAATACATGTTGCCTCCGAAACGTCGTGATTTTTATTTTATTTTACTTTTATTAATGGTATTTTTTTTTACCTACGTGACTTTACCGAAAAAAACCCCTACGAATATGAATCCTTGCAGTCACGAAAGCTTCAAATCTAGAATTAATACATTAATTAATTATACGTACCCTCACATCTTAATGTGAAGGACAAAACGATACCCCCCTCCCCCCCACCGCCAAAATTTCGAAGTCAAACTCCGCCTATGTCTGCACCCCCACGTGCTGTAGAACAGGCGCATGGCGGACACGCGTAAGCGAGGCCACGTCACAAAGACCGCCCCCACCACCCCCGCCCCCCCCACGTGTAACCTGTGACAGACTGCAGGTGAACACGTGGGATCAACTCTGGCTGCCCGCCTGATGTTACTGGTCGTAATTCTCCGGCGTGAACGTCACGGCGCTCGAATTGTAAACGTTGCGGTGGGTTTACTCTCCCAACTCGCCGGTTAGCGCCGTGCCAGTAAGGAATTGGGCCACGTTCTATTTGAGTGACGCGGCCTTACTAGTTGGCTGTGTCGGGTGGTGGCGGGTTTAACGACACATTTGTCAATTTATGCGATCTAACCCAAAACAAGTATAACCCCTAAGAACAAAGTTTTTCACTATAAATCCTTTATATGCGTGGCGGCTAGAGTCCTCTCGTCCTCTGGCTTGAGATGGCTGCCACCTATGGGTCAGATGATTGCATGGCACCATTAAGCAATTGGTAATTAAATATAATATTTTTGTCCTAAAAAGTGTAACATTTTTGAAAAAAATTTGCACGAACATTAATTGTCACGCACAACGAGTCTGTGTGGAAAATGTCAGCTCGATTGGGTCACGGGAAGTGGGTTAAAAAACGACCGAAAGATTTGCACGGTCCTAAGCAAGCAAGCAAGCGCGCAAGTGAACTTAATATAAAGGATTTAACAAGTATAACCCGTAAAAACAAAGTTTTTCACTCTAAAGCCTTTATATGCGTGGCGGCTAGAGTCCTCTCGTCCTCTGGCTTGAGATGGCTGCCACCTATGGGTCAGATGATTGTCTGCCAGTATTAGGCAATTGGTAATTAAATATTTAATTTGTTTTCCCTAAACAGTGTAAAATTTTGGAAAAAAATTTTCACGAACATTAATTGTCTCGCACAACGAGTCTGTGTGCAAAATGTCAGCTCGATTGGATCACGGGAAGTGGGTTAAAAACGACCGAAAGATTTGCACGGTCGTAAGCAAGCAAGCAAGCACGCAAGCAAGCAAGCACGCAAGCAAGCAAGTGAACTTAATATAAAGGATTTAAAAAGTGCCGTTAGCGAGCAGCACCTATGAAGGCTGGCACTGCACACGATGCGAGTAGGGGGTGGGTGGCCAGCACCACGCCAGGCCGCCTTTGTCTTCCCAGTGGCGATGTTTACACACTGCACGGGGTACCCATTAGAGGCTGAGTCGACCTAGGGGAGGCCCAGGACCCATTGAGATAATCGTCAACTGCCGTCGGTGGCCGTGAGTGGGAATCGAACTCGGGTCGCCCAAGTTCGTAGTGCAGCGAACCGCGAACTGCTGCACCCCACTAGCGTAGCCCCATCACGTCACCCCAGGACCATTAGACACAGACAATCGCTTCAACTTTCACAACAATACAACAACATCCCACAAAACCTTGCGTACCCCCCCCCCCACCACCACCAGCACACGCACGCGGGGTTGCCAGCTTCTGCCACTGACAGTCCACAACATTACAGCCATCTGGTCAAGCCTTCTAACAATGATCATTCTTGAGCGGCGGTGGTTACAGACCCTGTGGTCTGTGGCTGGCCACATGGGGGCTGTGTGGCGAGTGGTCTGCGGAGCCAAACCAGAACTTTTATTTTGGCCAGGTAAGACGCACTGTGCTATACAGCGCATTTTTTTCAGAAGCGACTTGGTTATCACAAAGGATAGCTGCTGAACGAAGCGGCGTATCGTCGTCATCATCATCGTGTGGAAATGTATAGCAGCAGCCAAATGGTCTGAACGCGTGGTGATGTTGATTCTAAATGTGGAGGGGAAAAAGCGGAGGACCCGGAGAAAAATCCACGCGACCACGGGGCAGAGAGAGAGAGAGTCACGCAAACTTCAAATATACAGCAGCAGGCGTCAGTCAGGGTCGGGATCGAACCCGCGACTTCTTGTACACCAGACGAGGTAGTTAACATCTCCTAGCCACCGTGATGATGATGATGATAGAGAGAGAGAGAG